CTAGGAAGAAGAGAAAGAAAAAAAGGTAAAAAATGAATTATTCATCAGTGATAACAGCAAAAAAGAGTCAGTCAACACGAAAAGAATCCATTTTCGCCTGTAAAAATATAACTATGAAGACTAAACGTGGTATGTTTCCAATTTTCTTAATTTGATTTTGCTTGCTGACAGTAATTAGTAATATATGACAATACTTGAACAGGACGAAAGTACTCCATATCTGATGCATAAAGGGGCGAACATGCTCTAAACATGATCGTTTCGGGACGCATGTACGACATTTGTTTCGTCTTGCTAATAATAAGCAATATATTTTCTCCATTACTAAGAGAATACTCTGCCTCCTTCGCTGCATTACTTACACTGTTGACTATTTTCATCGGGAAAAGGAAAAAGGATTACTTTCGTCATGAATGCGTTATTAATAGCTTTTTGATCAGCACCTTCGATCATATATATTTACTCGAGAGAAAATGTTGACTGGGTATTTTTTAAGTAAGCGTTAGCATCATCTGGATGTCGAGTTTTGGAATAGAAATTTTTCATTTGATTTCACTCTCATCTTGGCAAAAATTGAGAGCAATGGTAGATAATGTGTCCCAAAGGTATCATTCTGACTTTGTAACAGTCAAATAATATCGACGTGAGAAATATTAGGAATTGCAAATTTTGTAATACATTATAATGTAACAAATAATCCTTAGTCGAATTGTCTGAAGACTACAATTAATCAGTAACGACATCAGACTATACATTCAAGTAAAGCTTTTTAAAACTTATCAATTTGTATGAGTTTAAAGTATAGATAAAACTAATGAATACATACTATTCAAGCGAGATAAATATTTCTGTTCATGTTGCTCCCATGGCTTACAGCTCATCAATAAAGTTTCAGAACGATTAGATATTTGTTCTCATGTAATTTTGAATCTCCTATTTTCTTACACTGAAGTGGTTCGATTATCTTCTGATGTTGAATAGCATGCGTTTCGAAAGCTTCATCTCTTCATTTATTTGCAGAGAAACAAATGGAACCTACAACGCCTTCCACACCAGATAATAGAGGTAAGTGTTATTGATGTTGTATGTGCTATGAGAAAAGCATCCTTGAATTTGATATTTTGAATTGAAAGATCTCATTCAATAAGTTTTGTTACTTAATCAAAATGCATATGATTTTCTTACATTAGACAAGCCTTGGCTCAAGTGCCAATTTCATGATACCGATCAAACATCCATTAAGAAACCAGATGAATTTGGAATCAGTCCGAAAGATTTTGCTCCGTTGGAAAAAATCAATCGTGATATAGTGGATCGTATCCAAGGTTCAATATTTGGCTTGACTGTGGGCGATGCTCTTGGTGCTCATGTTGAATTCAGACCTAACAGTTATTTAGTTGCTGTTCCAGTGACGGATCTAGTAGGAGGAGGAACATGGGGTCTACAAAGGGGACAGGTAAGAAAGCGAATTATAGAAGGTGTATAGGAGTTCATTTTTGTAGTTCACTGACGACACCTCTATGGCCCTTTGTTTGGCCAATTCACTAATTGCTTGTCGAGACTTTGTTCCATATGATCAATTAGTTCGCTACAAGTGGTGGTATCGACATGGTTACATGTCATCAACCGGTCATTGTTTTGATATTGGTGCAGCCACTCGACAATCTATCCAAGAATTTGAAAAGCGTCAAAGGAAGTTTGCACATGATCATGACATTCTATTAGAGCAAATGGACTTCCTATCCAATCGTGACCTTCTTCAAGCATTCGACATGCATTGTAGCAAAGAGGGTGTGGCTGGTAATGGAGCCCTGATGCGTCTCGCACCTGTACCACTGTTCTTCTATCAACATCCGAAAGTGGCCGTTGATTATTCAGGCATTAGTGGCCAAATCACCCATGGAGATAAGAAGGCTTATGATGCATGTCGTTATTACGGAGCTCTAATTGTGGCTGCTGTTCGAGGTGAAGATAAAAATAAACTGATCAGTAATACATTTTACGATGATCATCGGGAATGGTTTGGAGATAAAACCCCTCATCCTGAAATCATGGCGATTGCTCAAGGATCTTACAAAAAGGAAGGTGGATATCAAGATGGAATTCGAGGAAAAGGATACATTGTTAATGCTTTGGAAGCTGCTTTATGGGCCTTTTGGAGTGATGGAGATTCATTTGAGACAGGTGCACTCAAAGCTGTTAATCTGGGTGATGATACAGACACAACAGCAGCTATCTACGGTCAATTAGCCGGTGCTCACTATGGCTACAACAAGTTGCCAAAAAAATGGTTGGAATGCATTTATGCCAAAGAGTTCATTCGATGTGTGAGCAGTTGGATCGTCTTCGAAGGAGAAAAATGGTTTAGAAATCAGGCTGTTCCAGGCACGAGAGAACTAATAAACTCTGCTCATCGCAATGCATTCATTTTGAAAACGATTATCTCGAGCATCCCCGAGCTAGAAGCGGAACTAAACCGAGAGGCCTCATTAGTAGTGGACATTAAATCAACCGCTATTGTGCGTAAGGCAATCGATCCTAACGGTCGAATAGGACATTGTTATGATGGATGGCGAGATTGTATTTCAGAATTACCTAGTATCAATCTGCATATAAGTACAGATTATGTGTATCCACCAATAAAATGTCTGATTAAAAGTGGCGACCAGCTTGAAAATCAAAATGTTCTTCGACTCATCGATTTTCCTGTTGACCTTCGGTTGAGTGTGTTATCGAACTTGGTTGTACTGACCGGTATTGCTTCGGTTGTTGATTATCCATTTGTAATCGACGAATGTACTCGCATCTTCTATTATTCTTACCTTGTTCGAAATCAAGCTTTACTGGACGAAGGCAGAAGTCAATCACGATTGTGCACAACAGATCCTGTCACTCATGTCATCACTGCAATAGATTGGGGCATCGATGTTGTCGTTCTTCTAAGATTGCCACCTGGTGATACAAACATGATCGATGCCAGCCTCCATAAAATATGTGAATCCATGAAACATGAGCCGGAACTAATTAATAATGAACATGCACTGAATCGAATTCTTTCTACATATGTCTATTCGAACAGACCTGATTTAGCAGGTCAGTCAACATTACTCAATGTATGCCAAGAAATTCTCAAAATCCAAAAGGATCATTCTAATCAAAAACCTTGCAACTATATTCTTCATCCCATCAACATCTTTTATTCCGATAAAAATCAACAGAACATCGAATTTATTCCAATTGAATCGAGAATTGCAACAAGGATTGAAGATCATTGGCTTCGATTATCTTCTGTCAGAAAAATATGGGAAACGTTTCGAGAAAATACGCCATCTGATATTTTGGAAACTGATCTAAAAGAACAGTTCAACACGATGCAAACTAGAGTGTCAAAACTAATAGATCAATATGATAAAGAAAAGAAACAAGGTCAAGATTTGATTTCACGTATTCGTCAAGGTAAAGAATCGCAAGAGACTATCGAACATTGCTTTCGGATCGATGAAGAAGAAACGAAGTTGAAGCGCATCATCGATGATTTGAAGCATGATCTGAGAAACCTGGAAGAAAAACAGGATTTTATCAAGAATTTGAAAAGACAAGGATTTGATTACTGGAATGCCGATAGATTTGATATTCAAGAAGGAGACAACGAAAATAAGATTCAACGAAAGCTAATTAAAGATAGGCAGCAACAACGCATCCTGTGCTCTAACGACATTTTAAACGCAGCGCATTGGTCACAATTGCAAGACATGTTGAATCAAATGGCTAATGAGCGTGCAGGAAACTCTGAGTTGAATCTGGTTTATGTCGATTTCTCTTACTGTTCATACGAACTAGATACTATAAAGACGTTTCCATCAACAAACTATGTTCCAATTGCTGGTGTGCGTGATTCTTTCAAACAGACAACGAAACAACCCGATTTTCGCCCAGTTGTGCCTTCCGTCGATAAGATGATCAATATTGTTCTCGTAGGTAAATCAGGGGTCGGTAAATCAACGCTAATTAACACAATTGCTAACTGCCTAAAGTTTCGAACACTCTCAGAAGTTCCATCAAGAACATCGGTTTTGCATGTTTTGGTTTCATTTATGTTTCCGCTAATGCTTGATGCGGAACCACATTTCATTCAACTCGGCGATAATGATCCCAACGAAGATCATAATCATACTGGTCAATCCACAACTCAACGTTGCAAATCTTACGTATTCGATGTAGAAAATGGACAAAAGTTACGTATCATTGATACTCCTGGCCTTTCTGATACACGCGATCAGACTCACAATGAGATAACGATGCAGCACATACTATCATGCATCTCGAATCTAACGCATTTGAATGCCATCTGTGTTGTGATAAAGTCGGGCGATCTTGATCTTTCTGTCTATTGGGAGCTTTTGATGCAGTTGCTCCATTTCCTTGGAAAAGAAGCACATGAAAAACTTGTCTTTTGTTTCACCAAATGCCTATCAATTTCGAACAATGACAATGAAAGAAATACTCGAATTCAGTCACTACTCGAATCACTCTCGCTTGGCGAAATGAGTTGCCCACACAAGCACATAGTTGTATTTGATAGTACTTTCTTTCTTCATTTGGCTCAGGCACGCTGGTTCGATCCTCATGAGCGACAATGTGAGCTGAGCTGGTCAGTTTCAAAGGAAGGAGTACAGCAACTTATGCATTATGTTCGTCAAGGCGATTGTCCATATATAATACATCAAGGATTACAAACAGTAGAATATGCACGAGTCGAAATCTTGCAAATGATTCGTCCAATAGCGGAAGCAATGCGAAATATTCTTCGAAATCAAATTTTACACAAGTTAGGATCCTCATCTAAATGGATCGAGCTACATCCGAAACCTATTCAACGACCTTCAGCTATATGCTACTTGTGTCAGCGTCCGCTTCGGCAATACAATAGTTTTTGGATCATTTGTGACTCTTTGCACGAATATCAAAGTCACTGTGAACATTGCTCATGTGATTCTGGACAACATGTTCAGGTTGATTATCGACTTGATTATGAGTTAGTCGATAGAGTGAATTATCAACTGCGTGACTTGACCACTTGGTATCACGAACTTTTTTCTGCAAGCGTACACTTCGCTCATTTTCTCACATGTACTGTTCAACATTCGAACGAAGATCTATTCTTAGTCACTCTCAATCGAATGATTTACGACGAAAGTTACATTTGTGATAGTAAATTTCATCACAATTTCAATTTGCATTTACTTAAGACACTTCGAGAACTCAAAGCTGATTATGAACAGATCATGATAGATATGCTACAGAGACGTGAACACGACAACTTGATGATTATTAACGATTACATCGAAAGCGTCAAAGATATTCCCATGATACGAAAGCAACTGAATATCACCAAAGAAATAAAAGACACCTCTGTGTAGACCTGTCGATGCTAGAGACTAATAACATAAGCTATCGAGTTAATGATAGTATCTAATTAAGATTTTCACATTTATCATAATAAATTTATTCTTCCCATCTTCTATTAATTCGAATCAGTGTGTGCCTAACCGACATATTAGTACACCGTTTTGATGAAGAATACAAAAAGAATGGCACTAAATGTTGAATGATCTTCCAATTTGGCTCCATGGAATGATGAGCCTGAATCTCTATCTGTTAGGATGTGTAAACTCTCGACTGTAGGATTTATCTTGGACAAGTTTTTGCAGTCTGTAATTCGACATTAGAAGCTGAAAAAAGTAACTCCTCTAGAAAAACAGTTCCGTAACAAGGCATATGATACAAATGCATTACAAAAGAGAAAGGTCCACCAATGTATTTCTGACGAACGAAAGATTTTACACTCTTTTAATAGAAAAACAAAATCTTGAATTCAAGATTCATCGTGAGAAAAAGATTTCTGAAGACTGAAAATGTGCAAACTGCGTTGCGACTTTTTAACTTTCATTCTAAAAAATTGAGGGTATGGGTGTGGCTGGCTATTCTATTTATCTACCCACATCAATTTGAGGCATTTGGCCAATTTTTGCAATTTTATATGACCACGAGTCGTCCATTGCGAGAAAAGGATCTGTTCAGTCGATATCTCGCGAGTTTCAGCCTTGCTTAATATATATTTGATGTCCCTTCAAGTGAATGTATTAGAGCTATAATCGATTTACATTGGTTGATCACTTGTGTCTGAAGTTTTGGTCCATTAGTGTGAATTCACTGGATGCGGATATAAAAGCGTGCAGGAGAGAGTAGTTCTTCAGTGGCACCCAGACTCTTACCCAACTAGAGTTTTCTTAGTCTTTGTTGCTTGTTGAACTGCTAAAGTTCTTCAATATACACGACATAACAGAATAAGCACAAATCATTGCAATCACTCGTCGTCAGATTTTCGATTTTTTGTCTCAGAACATATAAATAACAGTCAAGTTTCGTATGAAGTCCGAGTTTTCTTCTGGATAAATGCAGATTTCTCTGAATATGATCTCTAACGAGAGTCCAAGTTGAACCTGAGTCAATCAGTTGATTGAAATAGAGATTGCATCAAATGTTCGACTGTTGTCAACGATCTGAAAAAGAAAGGTGTG